CATATCACATATTGTTAAACTTGGTTGAATTTATTTTATTTTGCTAGTTTGACTTCTTATGGAAAATGAATAAAGCTAAATGTGATGCTGGAAAAGTCTTAAAGCTTAAGTTTTCTAAAGGTTATTCTCTGCCAAGTGCAGATGTGTGAAGTAAAAGATCAAATTGGATTACCTGTGTACCCACGTAGATCCCCCGAAGTGGACAGGCACTGATATCCAGGTGGCACATATACACAGAAAAGTACTTATATGTGTTCAAAATGCTTCATGCAAACATTGGAAAATATACAAATACGTTGAATTTGAAGTACACATAAAACAGATGCCAGAGTTTGCAGCACCATTTCTCTCTAACACACACACAGTGCAATTTTTCCCCACTGATAATAAATGTCACATTATTGTGATGTACAGCACAGGACCACATCAGTGTTGGACTTGGATATGTCATCACTGCTGTTTGGTGTTCAGGAACAAGGTGCCAGAAGTTCTCTTTTTCTCCACTTCTTCCATTTACTACTACACCTCCCAGAAATGATGAAGTCAAAGTGAAATAAAAAAAAAGACTTATTATTTAGAGCTGGACTGTTGCCTTTGTCAATAAACTGGAAGAAAAACATGTTTAAATTCCTCCGGTCTAAATTGGAGTTCAGAATCTGTTTTTGGAATAATGTAAAACCAAAATCAAGAGAAAGCTTTTCTTACACTGGAGAAGCGAAATCAAAAGAATTGATTCATTTTTTCTTGACTGGCAATTGATTGCTCAGTCAAATAAGAGTTTCACTTCTATTCTGATGCTGTATATTGTACCAAAACCTGTGTAAAAACCTTCTCCAGTTAATATGTAATGTGGCTTCTTTAATTACATCAGACGTTTGTTTTCTGTACAGCTGCTTTTCATTCTTTTCATTTTCCTCAAAATTTAGAAAACACTGACTTGTCTCTAGTTAAGATGAAGCTGTCCTGTGCTGTTTATAAATCAAACCTATTCAACCTGTTAACTAGAGCTGGGCGATATGAGATTTTTTCATATCACGATATGTTTTTTTCATTTCAGGCGATAACGATATATATCACGATATAAGCCAAATAACTATATTTGTAAGATTTAAATGTGCCGTTGCTCACAAGTAAAATGTGAAATAATCAGCAGCTTGTTTTGATTTAAATATTTATTTCCCATAA